TGTTTGGGACAGGAAGCTTACTACACACAAATTAGGGTATACGTTTGGCCGCCCCTGGAGAAAAGAGCCTACGGCCCACTCAAGATTTCCTCGGAAAAGGACCCCGTTAACAGGCCCAGTACCCTCGGCTCAAAGCAGAGGTACTAGACTGCTCACAGACTATAAAAAAGAGTTGCTGCATCCCACCCACCCCGTCTTTGGCCGTACCTCCAAAGGGCTCACAGCAGGATCTTGAAGAGACCACTGCACATCTATGCCCACCACAGCTTTATTCACAACAGCCATGAGATGGAAGCAATGAAATCTCCAGCAGATGAATGGATTAAAAAAAAATGTGGCATACATGTAAAACAGAATATTATGCAGCCTTAAAGCAAGACAGAAATCCTGTCCCATTCCACGACGCAGAGGAGCCTCCAGGATGTTACAATTACCAAAGGAACAAGAATATAGGATTCGACTTACATAAAGTATCCTTAGTCAAAACCATAGAAACAGAAAATAGAGAGGGGGCTACCGCGGCCGGCAGGAGGGGAGAGGGGAAATTAGTGTGCCGTGGGTACAGAGTTTCCGAGCTGCAGGATGAAAAAGTTCTAGAGATCTGTTGCACAACAGTGTGAATATACTTATCACCACAGAAGTGCAAGCTTCAAAACGGTTAGGATAGCAAATTTCATGTTGTGTGTTTTTTACAATAAAAAAGAGTATTGTTGCAAAGAGAGGTACAAATCCAAGTCCGTCAAGCCCTTCTTCCCTGATCCCCTACTCCTACTACTTCCTCTTCTCACATCCAACAATATACCCACTGGGTCCAGTGCTCCCCCCACACACATCTTCCTTGGCACATACCTCCGTGCCCTCATACCAGCTGGCTTGGGATTAAAATGGACCAAGCTAGGAAGTGCCAGAGAGAGTGCAGCCTATTGTATCGAATTTCCTTGGCCTTTTATAGGGATGCACCAGGGACCCAGGAAAGGCAGTACAGGGGGCTGAGAACGAGGCCTGTGTTGCTCTAAAGCTGGCTGGGTCGCCAATGAGCTGAAGCAAGCCATTCCGTTCTCTGGACCTTCTCTCTATAAAAATGCAAGCTGGCCCAGGTGATCTCTGAGGTTTTCTGTTCTGAAAGCCTAAAAGTTCCCCAGTTTAGTTGTCCAAGAAACTGGGGAAAACCAGCAAGCCCACTAATCTGAGTCTTCCCAAGTGATTCTTAAGGCCCTTTGTCATCTTTTACTCAATTGCCTTATCTGTTTCGATACACAAGCTTTTTTTAAAAAATTTTATCAAAATAATAAAAATAGTATCATCATAACAAAATCCTACTTATAACTATTTTTGGACAGACATCCAGAGAGTGTTCTAGGCCTCCCTGAGACAGCAGCATGGCCCTATTCAAGACTTCACGCAAGTTAACAGATGAAAATTGTTAAGTCACCTTCTGGTACACAGGGACAGACAGAGGAAAGGGTGCTGACCTCCTCCCATGCCTTGCTTCAAATCAGCAAACATTACTGAGAAACAGTTCTGTGCCAGGTGCCAAGCTAGGTACTGGGACACACAGATAACCATCGCTAAACCCAAGGAGCTCAGAGTCCAGTAGGGAAGACCTGGAGTGTCCCAGTTAGTAGCAAAATAAAAAGAGATTTCTTTCTGCTGAGAAAGCCAACCATCCTGGAGAGTAAAGGCAAACAGGGAGGGCAGGGAAAGGGGGGAGGGACAGGTAGGCCACCAGGTCTGGTAACCTGGACGACCCTTACTAAAGCACCACGCCAAGAAGTGAAGGACTGTTTTGGCTGGGCCATCACCACTTTCCGCAGCAAGTCGGCTAAACTTAAAACCAAACAGGTGACTTAAAGGTGAAGGCCAGTAATGGAAAGGATAGCCTCTTCCTTTCTCCCATGACCAGCACAGTCAGCCTCTCAGTCCTCTGAAAAAAATTATTTAGTTTTTTTTTATACAATCAGTTGTCCCTGTCCTTATATTTGAACCACCTCACTGGTCAGCAAAAGGAAGCATTTAAACTCTCGGATGAGAGATGTCGGTACACATACAGGGCAGCCCAGGACAGAAACGGTGGGGCTCCCTGCCAGTTTGGGTAACCTTGGGCTTGTCAACCTGTCTTCTGTGTACAATGTGTGTCTGATATTCGCTTCTCTTCGGTGATGAAAAGATGCCTACGAAGCGCAAAAGAAATATGAAAAGTGCTTATCAGGCATTCGATGTCAACCATCACCAGGGGAGCGATACACACAAAGGCGTCACGGATTGACTGATTCAAAAACTTTCACCTTGGAAGCTGCACCTAAATTGTACACTAGGCTTTTCTAGAAGAACGGACACTGCTCAGAAGGCAACCAAGTGCTTCCCTCTGTGGCTGCCTCTGGTCAGGCTCCTCCGTGCTCCATCACACCAGCTGCTTGTAAGGAATGGGAGCAAGTGAGGACGGTTTCAGGAGTGGAGCAGAGGAGTGAGGGAAATCTCTCCACACAGGGGGAGCCTTCCGTATCACATGTCTTTGATACATCAGACTCATCAGCTCATCCTTGAAAGCTTCTGACATTCCTTCTCTGCTCCACAGAAAAGTTATTGTTTACTGGACTCTAGAAGCAATCCCCGTTCTTGCTTGTGGGTTACCAGCAAACATTTTTTATTATGCAGTCACTGTACCACATCCCAAGGACTAAATGAAACACTGCACACATCACCAGAACATTTTCAGATGACCCGGAATAATCCCAAGTCCTTGATCTGCAGCACTTATCATCGGAACACCGTGAATTCAACAAACTCTGGAAAAACACACTTCACGTGTGTGCCCCTGAACATACACACAGTCTAAGCCAACCGTCACATACTGGCTCCACGAAGAGCCATTCAAATAAAAGTGATACTTTCGTTACTCGTGAAGAGTATTCAATCTATTTTAATTACGTAGAAATACACAGTCATGAAAAGAGGCACCTAAAAAAAAAAAAACTGAAAGGATAAGCAATAAGGCAAAAAATGATAAGCAAACTGTGGCTGCAATTTTTATGTCACATTTAGGACAGTGTTCTGTCTGGGTTTGGAGAGTGGTTTCATATGTCTGCGTAAGAAAAGGGGCTGCTGAACTCTTCCCACTAGAGTAGGATGAAATGAGCCACTTAGTAGCACTTCTGCCTGCAGCAGACAGAAATAAGCCCATCAGAACAGTGGGGACATGCTTTAAGAGAAGTATCAAGAAAAGTCAGAGAGAACTGCTTTTTGTTTGTTTTCAGCCAAAAATTACGGCCCCGTAGTTGGTCCACGTCTTCCTGATGTGGAATTTATTGCTATCAAACTAAATACAATTTACTGATTTAATACCCTATTATTTAGTTACCTCTGTTTGTGTTATGAAGTGTCAAATTAGATTATCCGTACCCTGCTCATTGTAGAATCTAATTTATACAGCAAAAGAAACTAGTTTTGAAGTATCCAACTACCTTAAATTATCTACTGTGACCCTCCACCCCCACCACAGCCTCAGACATTCTGCTGCCTCCCGGGTATCTACAAACACAGAAGCCTGAAAGTGCCACTGGGCATTTTTGTGAGGCAAAAACAAAGAAACCAAACTCACTTTTTTAGTTCACATTATCTTTTCATGAAAATCCACAAAAATCTCACCTGATGAAAAACACCAAAACCTGAGACTAATTATGAAAACGAGTAAGCAAATCTAATGAAATACTATTTCCCTTCAACAGATCCTATTGGAAAAGCAGTGTTGAAACAGGAAAGGTTCCTCTAATTCCCCTGAGATGAAGAAAATAGGTTATTTGTTCATTGTTTCTGCAGCGTCCATGCAATGAGCACATATTAAATGGGCCAAGCCGAAAACAAACAAACTTCAGCGGCTTCAGCCTCTCACAGAAGCAGAAGGCTTTTCCACCTGGGGACTGATGGAACAGTGAAATGAACAAAGTGCACAATAAATGCAGCCATGGGAAAAATAATTGGGGGAAATGGACAAATCACCCTGCCTCCTCACGGTGGCAAACTTTACAACTTTTTAGAAGCAACAAACCACAGCACCACCAGCTCTATAGACACAGACGTATAGACATATACACACGACTACTTGGAAGCCAAGTATGGTGTTTGCAAACATCCACCATCCTGCATTTACAATACTGCAAAACACTGCCAGAAAGCCGGGAGGTTTCTACTCTTCGATATCCTCTGCACTGTCAAAGAGGGAAGGTCACTTTGTCTGGTCACTTAGATAATTCTCTCTCTCCCTCTCTGCATCACAGGAGTTTTCTACTTTGGGATTATTCAACTTTCACATGCATGGGAGTAAAATAACCATTCGACAACTTATTTACTTTGGTTTAAAAAAGAAAGAGAGAAATTCATTGTGCAAATGCCCAGGAAAAGCTGACACCAGGACTGTCTCTCCGACAGTGGTTGCAAGTACAATCAGAGGAGGGGAAAAAATCCAGTCTGATCTGACCCAGGCAGTCCTTTGAGGGGAGGGGGGAGGATTGCATCCCCAACGGGGATTGAAGAACTTTTTTTTCCCCTAAGGAGACCACCCCTCGGGAACAAAAGTTACATTTCAGTCACATGTCGGGAGTAGGAGTAGGAGCAGGGTTTTCTTTTTTTCTTTCTTTCTTTTCTTTTCTTTCTTTTTTTTTTTTTTTTTTTACAAAAGCGCACTAATTATGGGGGTGTTTTACAGTTCCAAAGACCACTCGGGTTCCTCCTGGCCAATTGTGACGGGCACTTAATTGTCAAAAAGAAAGGGGGTGGGGAGGGGGGCGAGGAGCCGAGAAGGGGCTCGGCGGGGGGAGCAGCAAGGTTACACCAAAGGGTACAGCCGCCGCCGCGAGCAGCATCTCCTTCCCCGGCGCCCCCCAAATAATTCCCCGCGACCGGAGCAACTGCCACAGCCCCCTCGGAGGAGCCCAGCCCGAGTGCCCCGGCCGGTGCAGCTCAAGGTTTTCGAGCACAGAGAGGGAGGGGGAGAAGATCTTTACCTTAATGCTACACTGAGCAGGAGTCTCAGACATGTCTCACAGCGAGAGAGATCAGGAAGTTCTCAGTTTTTTTCCACTTTCCTTTCCTCTCCCCAACCCAGAAGCGCTCCACGGCCAGCCGGACGCGGTCATTTAAGAAGTTTCTTGCAGCATCTCTCCCGGCAGCCGCCCCGGGGGTCTGCGAGCGCGCTGGGCGGGGCGGGGCGGCCGGCGGAGTTGGGTGCGCGGGGCGGCGGGGGCGTGGGAGCCGGGCCCGGAGCGCGGCGGCGGGGTCTGCAGGTCGCGGCGCGGCGCGGCGACCCGGGGCGCAGCCCGGCCGGCCTCCCGCTCTCTCCTCCCACCCGCGGCCGGCGCCCCCGCCCCCCGCCCTCCCGCCGCTCTCCCTCGCTCTCTCGAATGTTTTCCTTCCTGGAAGAGAGAAACTGAAAGGCAGAACTGAGAAAGCTCTTTGCTCATTGATCTTGAGAGTTTCAGTGCAGAAACTGACGTGAATTCCCAGCACTGAGCTCTGCCTCTTAAAGGAGCCACCAGGAAATAAAAGCTCGGGTTACAGCCCGGCATCGGGGAAATAAAAGCCGGGCGGGGGGAGGGGCGGCGGCAGCCGAGGGAAGCCGGGGGAGCGGGGCCGCGCGAGGCCGCGGCCGCCGGCGGAGCGCGCGGCGCAGCCTCCCCCCCCACCGCCCAGCCACCAGCGGCGCGGCCCACGCGCGCCCGCCGCGAGCCCCTCCGCCGGCCGGGGAGTCGGGCTGCCCGGGCGCCGCCGAGCGATCGCCCGCTCTAGGGAGACACGTTGGAAAAAAACGTTACGCTGGGGCCCCAGAAACCACCAGACGGGTTTTCGTGAAACGCCTCCCACCTTCCCCGGCTCCGTCTCTTAGAGACACCGAAATGCACCAGGGCTCTCCCCCCCGCCCCCCTGCCGGAGCGCAGAGGCGAGGAGAATCAGCATCTAGGAAGGGTCATTCCGGTCAGGACGCGGAACCCCGAGGAGGAAATAAAACAATAGCCTTTGTTCTGCTTCTCGACCGCTGCCTCTTTAAGAGAATCCACCAGGAAATGGGAGATCGGGTTACAGGCTGCACACGGGGAAATGTGGGAGAGAGCGAGCGCCCGAGCGCGACGCCGCCGGAGACAAAGCCGGGCGGCCGCGCCGCAGACGCGGGGGACGGCCGGCGTGGGGGGATTCCCCGCGCCGGTGGGCGCCCGGGGAAGAGCAGGCGCCGCGCGTGCCCGCGGGGGCATGCATCGGCCGCCGCGGGCGCTGCCCCAGCGGAGCACGCGTGCTGGGGAAGGGAAGGCTGCGGGGCAGTTCTAGCAAAGGCGGTTGAGTTCCTTTTCCTGACACCCCCCTCCTTCCTGCCGTTTCGAAATCCGCTGTCCATTTAAAGAAATAGCGGCCGCCACCAACCGAAAGAGGTGACTCAATTGCAAAGTTGACAGGACGTGTTCCTGAACATAATACCCCCTCCCAGGGACCGCGTCTCTGAAACCGTCATTGGCCGGTTGGATGACCCTGGGATGCTGGCAGGGGGGGAATATTTGGCTGGAAAAACAACCGAGGGGAAGTAAAGGCCAGCGCGGCTGAGGGTTCTAGCCTTGAGCACATGTGGTCTGATCACTGTTATTTTTATTGTCATTCACAGTCTCTTAAAATGCTCTGAAGTGGCCGCTGCGAAACACTGAGAACATAATTATGTTTTAAATTCTAAACCCTTCTGATACACACAGAGGGGTTTAGTGTGTGGATGTGTGTTATATCACAAATATACAAATACATAGGTACAAAGATGTACCTAATGTGTGTATATCTACATGTAAAACAGGACGGATTTCCCAGATCCCCACCCTACAGATTTTTTCCTACTCATTTATCTTCAACTCTCCACATTATAAAACGTGTTCAGATCTCTTCACGCACTCATCAGGAAATTCTGAACCAGAACTGATTAAAAGGGGTTAGAGTGAAAAAGAGTCCTATTGCTGGAAAGATGGGAATTACGGGGTTTTGTGAGCTTCCAGGGATCTTAACAGTTTTTGTCACCCGTAGTCATATCTTCCCCAAGAGACTGCATGTCCACACGGACTCCTCTGCCTTCGACCACCTGCCACCCACTTCTATCCTTCACCCCTCCTCACGTCCCCCCCCAGCAATTATCTATCTGCCTTTGATCCCTCTACTAACGTTGCAGACATTGATTCTGATGTCCTATTGCTGGATTAAATCCTATAAACCTCTGTATCCCTTACTTATCAATAAGATCCTCGGCAGCTCGGCTTCTGTAAAAGGTGGGGAATAGTACCTATCTCATAAGATTCTTGTATTAAATGAGCAAATATATACAAAGTGCTTATTTACCTGAGTACTTGCTACATATAATATGTGCTCAATGTTAGCTACAATTACTTAACCTCAAGACTAAGTTAACTCTCAGCTTCTATTTCTATCTCCTCTTTACCTTCTCCAAGTGACTCATAGAAGTAGTAATTTGAATTAGAAAGTATGTGATTCCAAAGCAAAACAACAGTTGTGGAAAACTGTGCATTTAGACCAGAGGCTGGCAATCTCTTTCTGTAAAGGGCCAGATACAAAATATTTTAAAGTTTGTGTGCAAAGAGGCAAAACTGAAGACATTATGCAGATACTTCTATAATAAGACAGAAATTAAATATCCTCATTATTGACAAAAGGTATAGTAATAATGGTAACCAATTCTAATAATGAAAGAAATGGAATTCCTTTGGGATGGGGAATAATATTTTACTTAATTGAAACCAGTTCAGAGTAAGGGTTCTCTATCATCAAAACTAATTGTTTATATCTTTATCCGTTTTTCTGTTAATGCTGATCTGTAATGAAATTTTGCATATTTCATTTTTGAAAATATTTTTTCACCCCATAGGTGCTGACAAATATCCCATGAGCATATGGTTTTACTTAAGTGTATTCGTTGCATAGAAGGCATTTATCTATACAATTCTATTAAAATTCTATTAAGTTCTCTTGATATTTCCCCTTCGCATGCAATTACATTGCAGGTTAATCACTTTCAATGGAAAATTAGGTGGAAATGCCTCAGTTGCACAGTTAAGTGGATTTTAAGTATGGAAATTTCCTTTTCACTTGCATCATAATCCACAAACCACTACTTCGGGAAAAATGTAACTGCTGAAAATTTGTGTTGGAATAGAGATCTTGCTTCTTGTTCTAACTTTTGATGGCATGGGAAGTTTACAAAGCAGCTCGAGATTATTTGTGATTGCAACAGTGTTAGTCATGTCAAAATGATCTAACTGCAGTATATACTTTACACGTAGCTCTGTTTTACCTTGTGGTTTTAGGTTGAATTAATTAAAAACATCGAGTCTGTAGCCAAAACTAATTTCCAAAGACATTCAGTGTTCAGTAATCATGGTTGGGGGAAGTTTTCACTTATTCATTCCCACTTGTCAATTGTTTCTCTATTCCTTTTCCTGAATCTTTGGTAAATTGGATATTTTTTTCATATTCCATTAAAATTCCTACCTTGTCTTTGTAGCTTTTCTCCTGTATGTTAAATATAATGGTCCTCTAGAAATTACAGTTTGCCTCTTTAGTTATAACAACCTATCTTCAAATAATACTATTCTATTTTAAGAATATATAATAAACTTACAACAGCTTAATTCCATTTATCCCTCTCCCATATTTATGATATTGGCATATATTTTACTTCTGTGTTTTATTAAACCCACCATACATTGTTGGTAGGGGGGGTTGATATTTTAAAAATCATGTATATATGAATATAATGAAGGTACTAAAATATGTCTTTTTTATTTGTCCAAATATTTGTCCTTTCTGATACTTTTTATTTCTTCCTGAAGCTATGGCTTCATTTTTCTCTGGCCTCGAGAACTTTTGGCATTTCCTGCAATACTGTCTGTTGGTGATGCAGTCTCTCAGCTTTTGTCTATGTGAGGATGTCTTTATTTCACATTCACTTTTGAAGGATAATTTTCAGTGTATATAAAATTGTAGTTTGACAGATTCTTTTTTCGTTTGGCACTTTAAATACATGATTCTATCTCTGTCTCCATTATTTTTTTATTAAAAGTCATTTGTAGTTCATATTTTAACTCCTTGTATACAGTATCTTTTTTTCTCCAGCTGCTTTTAAGGTCTCTCTAAATTTGGCTTTCAAAATTCTAACTGTGATGTGCCTAAGTGTGGTTTCCTCTGCATTTATTCTTCTTGCTGTTGGTTGCAATTCTAGCTTGGGAAAAGTCTCTTCTGTTACCTCTCTGAATATTGTTTCTGCCCGTTCTCTCTCTCCTCTCCTTTTATTACTCCAGTGGTACAAATATTAGACCACATGACGTTGCTCCATAGATCTAAAATACTCTGTTTTGTTTTACTTTTTTCCTCTTTATCTTTCAATTTGGATACCTTCCTTCTATTTATCTCTTTTTAAATTTCTTTCCTCTGTATTGTCTACCTCTTAAGCCAGCCTATCTAACTAATTCTTTGTGATATTGTATTTTTTATTTTTAGGATTTCCATTTTTTATACTCTCCATTACTTTTCTGAAGTTGCCCATATCTTCATACATGGCTTCTTCCTTTAGGTCCTGTAGCATTTTTGTCATACTGTGATAATTCTAAAATCTGGACTATTTCTTGGTTAACTTCTATTGATTTTTTCCTTTCTTTTATTTTAAGATTTTTATTTATTTATTTGAGAGAGAGAGCTCAAGCGGTGGGTGGTGGGTGGAGCACAGAGGGAGAGAGAGAAGACTCCCCACTAAGCAGGGAGCCCCATGTGGGGCTCCATCCCAGGACCCTGGATCACAGTTGACTGAGCCTTCAAGTCACCCTGATGTTTTCCTTTCTTGATCATGGGTTACATTTTCTGGGTTTTTTATGTGCCTTGATATTATTATGTGCAAATATTGTTTTAGAGCTCTTATTCTCAGCTTTTCTGCTCTGCTTGATGTCTTCCTTAGCTTTAAGCCTTGAAGGGCAATCTCAGTTCTCCCCTGCTCCCACTCTCAGTCTTTCTTAGCTGATTGCCTGGAGGGCCAGGGGTCTTCTCTCAGCCCTTTTACCCCTCTATAAAACTTTCTTAGTTGAAAACCCAGTGTATCTCTGATAATTTCTCCCAGGTTTCTGCATGGCCCTTGTTTGTTGTGGTCCCAACCTGTTTGTGACTATCACAGAAAGAACTGTGAGGTATTATAGTTTCTTCTGTGCCTATGGCTCCTCTGGGTTCTAACCTATGCACTGTCCATGCACTGCCA